AGATTTGATTTGAAATTTTTAATTTATACTAGACCGTGCAATGAAAAATAATTGCTTGTAATTCCAGAGTACCAATCTGTTAAGGGGAGGTTCTCATCTAGGGACCCGAAAATAAAGTAATTTTCTTGAATTTTTTTCTCATGGTAGGATGTAAATTATCAATTCTAGTTTTTTGGCACATATTTATCAAGTATTTAAATACAAAAATAAATTTTTTCGACGCTTAATATAGTGAAGAAAATGTTTTATGCGTGCTGCAACGTGACCGTGTGAAAAAAATGTTGGTTGATTACAGCCAGGATTGTGGTCGAACGGATGATCTAAACCGAAAAAACCAAAAATTTTCTTAAAATATATGATATTTGTTGAATCTTGAACCTATCAAATTAAAAAAATGACATGCATTTGAATTTTAAATGTCGTTTTTTACGTTTTTGTTCGCTCTTCAAAGTGTTATAAAGAATCGAAAAAACATGAAATATCAGTCGCATTTAGGTTCATCCTCCAATAAATTTAATTTACTTTAAAATAAAAAAAAGTTTGACCAGATCCGTCAATTAGTTCTTGAGAAATCGTGGCTACAGTTTTGAAAAACAGTATTTTTCAGAAAACGCGTTTAAAGTTTCGATAAGGGTTTTCTTTGTGTAAATCGAAAAATAATGTGTCTTTCGGTTAATCGGCTATTCCTAGACCATACATTAGGTCTTCCTCCATCTCGTAATGTTTCATTACGAAATTTATTTTTAAGTTCAAATTTCAAAGATATCGACGTAAAATACTCGTTACCGCAATTTTAGTCGATTTTAGTGTAAAAAGGTGGGTTCGCTTTTTGTACCACAACTTTTTTTTCAGCCAAACTTTTTCTGGCGTTTATGGGGGCTTATTCTACACATAATAAGCTATCAAAAAACGCAAAAAAAATTTTGACATTTTCGGGTCGAGTTTCATGAAAACCTCCCCTTAATGACACGGAAAAAGAACATGGCGGCCTGCTCTCAAAAGACTTTCGATGGATGGAATAAATGATTGGAATAGATGTTATGAAAATGTTTTGGATTAAAAGACTTTAATCTTTCTTTAGTCGAATTTCTAATTTTTGTTTGAACTTCCGGTTTTGAGTTGTATTATAGCATAGATAAGAAATTTATCAATTAACTCTGAAAAAAAGTGACATCATTCTTACGGTGCAAGTACAAAATGTAATAGTGTTTGAAAGATTGATTTAAATATTCGCATTAATGACGGCAAGCCTTGATTGGTATTGTTGAGAATGACATAAGTAAAAGGCATTACAACATAATTTTGTGCGATCACATCGTCATCGTTATGGAGCTTTTGAAAATATGGTGGGACCTTATTTTATTCTAATCTAATCTTACTATTTAAATGTAACACTTTTCGTACTACAAGTGTCGTAATAGCAATTACTCTGTACATAAGAAAAAGGCATTACAACATAATGTGTTCACATCATTATCGTTATGTAGCTTTTGAAAATGCGGTGGATCCTTATTTTATTCTAATCTAATCTTATTATTTCTATGTATATACACAGTTAAAGTTATTTTAATGTTTTAACCGCTTTATTTTGTTTTATTTACTATCTGACTCTTATTGTCCTTTCTTTGTTAGATTACTAATCTTATTATTCATTCTTTATAAGTAATACATTTCGTATTTCAAGTGATGAGAAAATTACTCCGTACAAGCTTCGACATTACTTCTAAGTGAACAACGAGAAACCCATCAGTCTTTTGAGAGCAGGCAGCCATGTTCTTTTTCCGAGTCATTAACATATTGGTACTTTGGAATTACAAGCAATTATTTTTCATTGCACGGTCTAGTATAAATTAACAATTTCAAATCAAATTTCAATAACCGACTTTTATATTTTGTGCACTAAAAATAACATATTGCAGGAATTTTTTAGATAACTGTAATATGCAAATTGTAATCTGAGTAGTAAGACTAAGGGGATTCGAGATCAGGCGCAATGAGGGGGGGCGCGGGGAAGGTACGAGGCAGGGGAGGGGGAGCCGGGCCGCCTTATCCCTCCGCCGCCGCCGCGCCGAGGCCTCCGGGCCGCCTTATCGCGCCCCCGCCGTTCTCCCAGGATATATCGTTACAAAAGGTGCCGCGGCCGATGACGTCATCATCGCGACGACAGGTTCGCACAAGGATCAAATTACTATGCGTTATCTTGCGCGATATTTGTTCTAGGAAGAGCGGCGTCAGCGCCGATGGCTGCTGAACATTCAGAGTGATCCAACGCACAAGGATCAAATTA